CACACCCGGCGCTGGCACTGAGGCACATCGGTCAGTCTCGTTAGGGTTATGGGTCTGGGCCGGGTTGCGCCGAGTTTCGGGTTGGCCATCATCCGGTGTGTAGTGTCAGTGACTGTGCATGGGTGCACTGTCGAGCGTTCGAGCTCGTCGATGGATGACGGTATATCCAGCACCACCACCAGCAGACTTACCCCCCTCCCCTTGGGGATCCAGGCGGCCACCACACAACATGCGCTCGCCGCTCGCCTCGCCAGAGAGCACCTGAGATCCGCATTATTTGTACACACCTGTCACCCAGGAAGAAAACAGTCCTTGGAGCACTGGCGAGACGTTGCATGTCACGTGCAGCGCGCCGTCAGCGAGCCGGCCTGAGCCGTCATCTCCCATCTGATAGCGCAAGCTGAGGGCGAATACACAGCATGTCAGCACATAAATGGCGTCGAGCGCCGCATTTGCTTCGAACCAAATATAGTTGGGGTAACTCACATATGGGCACAGTACCGATGAAGCGAAGTGGCTTGCCAAACGCGCGGCACATTAGTGTAACGCTTTACCGCTGCATGATGAGCCTCGCATCGCGCTACAGCGCCTGTCGATGATGTGAGCCGTAGGAAACCCTCGCCTCCGAGCCCGAAATATCACAGGTGTGCATGGTGGCGATGACCAGACCGATCGTGACGGTGACATTGTTCCATAGGACCGAGTCCATTAGTACGGCGCCTAATTTCGGGTCAAATAGGAACGCACATCGCCCATGCTTGGCCTCAGTCTCTGCTTTGAGAAAGCTGGCGTCCCTGATGGAGGGTTCAAAAGCACAGGCTTCGGTGCGCCACTCGAGTCTCCCCAAAAGGGAAAACAGATGCGCATCAGACGGCCCGTCCAACTGGATTGTCAAGACAGGGGCACTTTGATCAGTGAATCGCTCCAGGAGGACTGGCCGTCTTTCCAGAAAGCCCGTAACCTCTGCCAACTTGTCCGGCGCCCGACCCGTAGCCACCTGGCTGTTTGTAACCAGCGATCTGTTTCAAAGCTCCTCATTGATCATAGCCAAGAGGAACGTGTACTGGAGGAGCCGATACGTCTGTCGGTTCGTCGTCTCTGGCCCCATCCCCGCGCCGACAAACTTCTCACCAGGAAAGAGCGACAGTCCATGTAGTGACGTTCATAGCTGGCCGAAGCTGATGGGGACACCCTTCTGTTTCCAGAACCGCAGCACGACGGCATCGAACAGGTGAAAGCTAAGAAGAGGGGAGCGCAGAACCAAACGGTGAGCAACGGAGGGGAACATTGGGAGTCGCAATTATCCATGCGAGCAGACTGCGGTACGACTCGAGGCTCTCCGGATCGCGCTGAGTCACGCGCAAGACTGCCGCATGCGCGGCGAGGGCTTGGACCAGGCGCTTGATACACTTGGACAAGGCAACGAAGCAAGAATGCGGGCGCATCGTATCAATGAGGACGGTCGTCGCGACCAGCACAACAAGCGTGAGCACTTCCGCATCGAACCTTCCCCTCGGACCACGGCTGCAGGAGCTGCCAGGTGAGCTTCATCACAGAAAAGGCGTTCACCCATGCCGAGAAGCTTGCTTGGACCTCGCCAATCGTCACGGCGATCGGGCCGCTAAATTGCGGCCAGGCAGCTTATATGGTGGGCAAGAGAGTCTGCCGGTGCCGCGTTTTCACGACCGGCCGTCCGTGTGTTATGTCGACAGTGACAACGTGGCGCAGTTACTGGTTCAGCATGAGGGGTAGGTGATGGGAAAGCGAGGTTTCAGTGCCGTTTCGATTTCTATAAACTCGACTGATACGTGATCGGAAAGCACCCCGCACGCTTGTCACATCAGGTCGCCATACTCTCCGTCGTAGCATGGTGCGAGGGCCAAATACTGACGGAGCCTTCCAGCTCCCTCTAGGTCCACGGTGGGCTGAGCATCCTCCCTTTCGGTCCGAGCGAGTGCTAAGCTTGCTGGAATACGATGCAGATGTCCAAGCAGTATTTCGATGGCGAGATCGCTTGGAACAATCTGGGCCACACGATGGTATGTGGGAACGAGCCATCAGCGCGCCAGCCGTGGAGGTGAACAAAGCCCAATCACCCTTGACTGTTGAGCAACAGAACGTATAGCCCAGCAGGATGAGCTCGATAGACGTTGTCCCCGATCACCAAAGGCATGCCCTTTATTTCATGCGGTGTGCGCTACCCGGGCAGGCAAGGCAATCGTCGAAAATCAGAGCCAGCTTGCCATCATGGACAGCTTTGGTGGCATCGAGCTTGTTTAGGACTAGTCTGTGAACAGGTGGAATGTGCATCAAGTCGAGATGATTCAAAGCTTGGGTAGCGAACTTTAGCTTATCCGCATGGTTGAATATGATGCTGGTCATGTAATCGAGCAGCGTGACCATCGCGCCTACATGTGCGCCTGTGAGCCCAACCGCCGGAGAGAAGGAAACCTTGACCTGTTGAGCCACCCAACCCGCTATATCCGATCGCAACTCGTCCGTCACAGCCGTGCTCAAGGATGTAATGGACTTCCCGGGCTCCATAGTATAGCTCGACCACGACTCGATGCTCGAGGAATCCGAACCCAGCTCAAATTCTGATGTAATGCGAAGTAGGTTATCCTGCCTGGGCTGCGTTCGCCGTTTTCGCTGGCGAAATTTCGAATGCAAGCTTGCTGCTCATCGCGGGAGATGGGGGCCAGGACGATGCTTCTGATCTTCGTAAGCGCAGGCTTTGTTGGATTTTGAAGCACCTTTCGCACGCATGCCCGCGGGAGCAGTCCATGCACTTCAAGCGACAGCGGTCGCATGGCTTTCCTTCTCCCCATTGCTTGGTATTGCTGCTGCCCTGCGACCGCCGAAAATGGAAGCGCAGCTGCACCCGGGTTTCCGTGTCTGAGACATCTGCGGCGGTATGTTCTGCTGCGTTTGCAGTGACTGTCATCATTTTCGTCGGCTCAGCTCGGGTTTGGAGTGGCAATTACTTTGTTTTTACTACGATTCAGAGAAGAGGGGTTTCATCAAGGTCTTCTCATTTCTGAGCAAAGCTCGGCCTGAAGACGGCTTGGCTCTCGAGATACGGCACGTTTAGAATCTCCAAGCTCTCGTACGCGCATCTCGATACCGCAGGCCGCAGAATCCAGAGCACATAAAAATAATCATGGTGCACAACAAAGGAGCATGCACATGCGCTGTGTGCTTCGTTCCCTCAGCGGTGCCTATACTGATTGGTACCTCTATGCGAAGTGAGAACACGTATGAGCTGCGCCATTACATTCGGTGCAACCGCCAATGGGCTTGGTCACGTAAGGTGAGTGCGTCTTCATAGAACTATGTCGCTTCCGCCGCACCAGCTGATTTCGCGCTGCCAGAATCTTCTGCAACACCCCCCCCGATACACACAATAACTCCATCCTTGCAGTCCCACAAATTGATCCTCGGCGTGGATGTTGCATTACCATACGACCCGCGTCCAACCCGGGAGTAGATCTACCTCTTCAGTTTATTGCAAACGAGGAGGAGACTGCCTCTAGTCAGAAGCGGCAAGATGTCATTAAAAGTACCCAAGGCGGGCGGGCCGTCGCTCTTCAAAGATGGTTACAAGCACCTTCAAGGCATTGAGGAGGCCGTGCTGCGGAACATTCAGGCCATCAACGAACTGTCAGAAATTGTGCGTACATCCTTTGGACCAAACGGGAGGAACAAGATGGTCATCAACCACCTCGAGCGGCTCTTTGTCACCAACGATGCAGCGACCATCATTCGCGAGTTGGAGGTGGTCCATCCCGCAGCAAGGCTCTTGGTCATGGCGAGTCAGCAGCAGGAGGCCGAAATGGGAGACGCGACCAACCTCGTCCTCATCTTTGCTGGAGAGCTCCTCAAGAAGGCAGAGTACCTGATCACGATGGGTCTCCACCCGAGTGAAATTCTGCAGGGCTACGAGCTGGCGAGGGACAAGGCCCTAGAAGAACTTGAGAGTGGGTGATGCTTGCTATGCATGGTGAACCGAGCGCTCCCATGACTTTCTGACGCTTCGCAACCTTCTACGCTCTCAGCTCTCTCGGTTGCATCACTCAGCTCACCTCCCTCGGTAGAGTCGCTGGCATTGGCGATTCGGCCATCGCTGGCATCCAAGCAATACGGGCAAGAGGATATTCTAGCACCGCTTGTCGCTCAGGCAGTTTCGCTCGTCTTCCCGACGGCCGTCGAGAAGCAGACGGCATCAGAGGTGAGGACCACTGGCGGCCTATCCAACATCAACGTCGACAACGTTCGCGTCGTCAAGATCATGGGCGGGTCCTTGTCAGAGTCGCGGGTCGTGCGCGGGATGGTCTTTGGCCGGCAGCCGGAGGGCAGTGTGCGCGCCGTGCCCGAGGGAGGCAAGGTGGCGATCTTTACATGTGGCATGGACATTTCGCAGACGGAAACCAAGGGTACCGTGCTGCTGCACAATGCCAAGGAGCTCAGCGCGTTCACGCAGGGCGAAGAGAAGCAACTGGAGAAGATCATCAAGGAGATCGCCGATTCAGGCGTCAAGATTGTCATCACGCAGAGCACGGTAGGCGAGCTTGCGCTGCACTACTTGAACCGGTTCGAAATTCTATGCGTCAAGATCCTGAGCAAGTTCGAGGTGCGCCGGCTGGCGCGGCTGGTGGGCGCTACGCCGCTCGCGCGGCTCGGCGCGCCGATGCCCGAGGAGGCCGGGTGGGTGGACGTTGTGGAGACGACGGAGATCGGTGGGGACCGAGTGACAGTCTTCCGGCAGGAGGATGGCAAGCTCGGCGGGAAGTCGAAGCCGAAGATGGCGACGGTCGTGCTGCGCGGCGCGACAGCAAACCTCCTTGATGACGTTGAACGGGCGATTGATGATGGTGTCAATGTGATCAAGTCGCTCACCAAGGATGCGCGCCTCGTCCCCGGCGCCGGCGCAACGGAGTTGGAGCTGGCGAAGCGCATCATGCGCTTCGGCGAAAAGACGCCCGGTCTGAACCAACACGCGATCAAGAAGTTCGCAGAGGCGCTCGAGGTCGTGCCGCGTACGCTGGCGGAGAATGCAGGTCTCAACGCCACGCAGGTCGTTAGCAGCTTGTACGCGCGGCACGAGGGCAAGGAAGGCAAGGGCGCCGAAGTTGGTGTCGACATTGAGGTGAGTCAGGTAGAAGGCACTTGGCGTTGGCCTCATCCTGCGCTTTGCTCGGTGCTGATAACACCCTATTTCCGGCCCTCTTGACCCATCGTTCTCCTCTGTGCTCAGGACGAGTCCGAGGACGGCACAGTGTCTGCGACGTCCAAGCAGATCCTGGATGTGTTGTCGGCCAAGTACTGGGCGCTACGCTACGCTACCGGCGCAGCGGTCAACGTGCTGAACGTCGACTCGATCATCATGGCCAAACCGGCGGGAATCAAGGCGCCGAAGCAGAACCCGAACTGGGATGATGATTAGCCGGCGGGTGGGCTATTGTGCAGACTAGCCGATGAAAGCTGATCTTTGATGATGGTGCTGCGCAGTGTAATCGTGTATGTACATGTGACAACACTGAACACTGCCCCCCTGATATGCCTCGTGCATGTTCCCTATGAGCTGCTCTCCGCATGCAAGCCGCCCTTCCCATCTGGGTTTCGACTCCTGCTAGGCCTCCTTTCAATTTCAACCAGGATGCGGCTGGGCCTAGCATTTAAACCAGCGATCTTCGAATTTATGCTACGAACTTCTTTCATGCCAATTCTTTGCACTCGCAACATTGCTCGATTGATGTCCGATCCCGATACGCGCGGGCTTCGTTGCGTATGATCAGACAGGCATTGCGAGTGCTCCGTACATGCAACCCTCTATCGATCGATGCATAATCAGACCGTCGCTTATCGGCGGTTGGCCCCTTGAAATTGAATCGATTCACCTCTTCAGCACGCAGAGAATGTATGGCGCATGCAGCCCCAATGGATGCCAAGCAAGCCCAGCTCCGTTCAGCCCGACCCAGCGCCGGTGCCCTGCGGCAGATTCATTTCTGTTTTAACCAGATTGTGGCGTGTGGTAGCTGACTCTTTCAAGAGATATGGCCATGTCGCTCAATCTATGGGGGACCCGCGGAAAGGGGGGGAGAGGGTTGCGATGCTGCATCATTCCGAGCTGATTACCGCAGCTTGGCAGGCTGCGTCCTGTCTGGGAACATAGCTGAAGCGAGTGCCGTCATCTGGCATGAACATGAGGCGCCCTCATCTGCCGATGTGTCCTTTGTATGTGTGTGATCGACGTGTCATCAGCAGAGCTCATAGCTCAAGAGCATAACACTGATGCTATCTTTCTTAGAGATCTCAGATAACTTCCGGGAAACCCGGAGCAAGCGGTTCCTGGATGCGTGATCCCCCTCCGTTTTGGGCCTTGACTTGTGAACTCTCACACTGTTCCAGTGCCCATCTGAGAGCACCGAGGCTCCGACATTTTTGATCGCCATTCATCCTACAAATGTATCCACTCTGCTCGGCCGGTTCATCCCATTTGCAGAGGCGAACGCATTTGGAATGTAGCGACATCCTTGCTGGGACATCTCAACCGACGCCACTACTGCTTGTTGTTTACTGCAGTCGAATCGATCGATAGGCGGGAGGAAGAGGGGGGGGGGGGTCGGCCAACATCTCGTCACATCGACGCCCGACCAGGCGCCGCAATGAGCAATGTTGGGCACCTATTATCATTTTCAAGTATATACCTTGCAACTCACGCGAGGTCTGCATCGCGACATCCCTTTTCCCTTCCTTCCTCATAGGGTTCTGTATCGTGTCTTCGTCTCTGTCTCTTGAATTTCTTTCCCAGCTGCCAGGTCATCTCGTTTCTACTCCCTTTCTCTCTCTCTCTCTCTTCGATGCCGTTCAAGCCGCAGAGATGCAAGCAATGTCTCGCTCCTCTCGAATTTTGAATACAGGCGCAGGGTCACCGCGCATCCAGCAACCTCGCTTCCTACTCTCTGCAGGTCTTGGACATTTGCAAATTGCACATTCCCGGGAAGATCAAGTCTCTCTGAATCGCCAACATATATTGCCGTGCCTTTGAAAGCAGCCGATCAATTCTGTTGTCACACCAGCAGCCTTGAGATCTAACCTATATCCGTCATAAACCATTTTTCTTCTACTAGCCACCAGATAACATCTTGCAGCATGAGGTTCATCACTAGCGCGCTATTCAAGGGGGCTCTCCTACTCTTTTTTTGCCACCTCATGGCTGCGGAGACATTCAAGACATAGACGGCCAGGCCTGTGCCTACGCGCTCCGTCTCTGCGCACCCCACCATGCGCGCGGTGTACAGCGGCGCAGCGATCTCGTTCTCTTCAAGGAAACGGAGTTCCTGGAGGCTCGCAGTATTAAGGCCAAGGTGATGATGTGGAAGAAGCCGATGTGCAAGGCTAATAAGGCAGCCACCACCACTCCACTCCATCTTCCTCTCCTGCTGTCACTAGTCCCCAAGAGTAGAGCAGGGTGGCAACAAGGGCAGCATGCGATCTTCTTCGTCTTCGTCCTTTTCATCCTCCTTCATCTACCAAGACATCAAAAGGGCGCGATGGACACCCACACCTGCTCAAAAAGTGCCCCGGGTCACTCAGGGCGATCTGACCAGATCTGGTTGCAGCAGCTGAACAACTAGAGAACCAGCCGTAACTGCTTGTCGCGCAGGCCATGATCCAGTCTACCCGGAGGCCCCTATTCCATGGTGTACGGAAAGGGAAAGAGCGTGGGAATGTTTCAGTGCATGAGTCTGCGCTCACACTCGTCGTCTATGTGCAATCGTGACACGATACTGTCATTCATTGCTGCTGTTCGATCTACGCTTTCCTAGATTCACCGACACAGAAGTATGGGCCGCGTACAGCGGCAGCGCTAGCAGGACGAGCAGCATCGCATTCGTCTGGGCTGCTGCCAAGTATATGCCCAAATTGATTTCGGATAGCCACGGCAGTCTCCTCGGGGATCTGCGCTCGGTGAGCCTGCCGGATTCGCCCCTCTCTCTTTCGTTCCGAAGCAAATGTTATTGAGTTGCTGATCTCGTGTGCTCTTCTTATCAGAGTACAACGGCCCGATCGGAAAAAGTGGAAATCCAGAATACCAAACGGCCATGCTTGCGCCCATGCACGGGTAAGGATTCCGATGATGCCCGAGATGGGCGCGCACCATTTTCATCGTCTGCACTTCCATTTCTTCGTAGGACATTGATGGGCCGATTAATTATCTATGTATCTTGCGCTGGTTCCCAAATGAGGGCGTGTTTACCTCGTGCTGCGAGAGAACAAAATGACTGACATGCATGTCATGTTCGTGGGAATGGTCCTTCGCGCGAACCGCGGCCGACGCAAGCGATGTAAGCAGTTTGCGCAACAACTTGCTGTTCCACTCGCCCACCACTTCGCTGCACAAGATGACTTTCACCGCATTTTGCAGTTTACCTCTTGAAACGATTCTCTTGACGTGTCTGCTTCATACTGTTTGTCGCAAGGGTACTCAAAGGAGAGCGCTGCTAGAGCACCAGTTCGATCCAACGAAGTGGCAGCCTGCCTTCACAGACAGAGGGTGCAGAGACCGACTGAACATTCAACTGTGCGCTCGTTCTCGGCTTGTGGCGTATGAGTGGGGCGGGGAGCTGTATGTCATAGCTAATGCCGCGTGCAGGCTGTCAATCACTACCTCAGGCTTGATTCGATATGCAGAGTGTGGCTGGGGAGCTGTGTCGTTTGAGAGACCGCCAGTAAAATCTTTGCGCACAATTACGGATTTGATTTTGCGTACGGCAAGGAGAAGATAAAGGTTGAGATAGGGAATTGAACTGCTCATTACCGTCGAACTCATGGACGATCACATCAGCTTACCTCACTGCAACGACTCATTCATTCCCCTCTTCTCCAGCTTCTTCTTCAGCTCGGCCGGTTTCGGACAAGCGTCGGGCTGCTTGGCATCTGTGCCGTGCGAGCGGTAAAAGCGCGCACAGCATCGATACAATGCATCGATCAGGCCTTCGCACTTGTCCTGCTGGAACGTGTTCTTTTGCAGGCAGCTCTGGATTGCGCACGCGTGCGCATGGCACGCGCTCGTCGCGGCTGTTTCGGTAGCGTCTGACGGCATGACCGGCTGAAGGGCCTTCTTTGACGGTCTGTCGAAGGACTCGATGTACTCGCGATTCCAGGCTCCTGTCCATGCAACCCTCTATTTGTGTTGAGAATCGTCAGGTAAAGACTTGACGAGCAACGTCGAATGTCGAGAGTCGCATCTTCGTTGTCGTCATCCACACCCACGACAACCATCGGCATCTTCTTCGGTCCGCGCCTCCCCCCACGCCGACGCCGACGCGGAGACGGAGCCCCACGCCCACATAGCGACAATACCCAGTTTGACAATAGAATGATATCCCCGCTACTATATATATCTAGAAGCTGGTTAGACCTCTTCCACATTGTCCGAGTCTGTCTCGTCATAGAAACCACCGCGCTGCTTCTATCCTCTACCGCTCCTCACCACATCACCCAAAAGTGCCATTTCTGACGGCCTCCAATCACCTCAACAACCGCAGGCGTCATTGAACCTTCTCGCAGCTCGCCGCACCCACGCCGCCCACCATGTCCACCTTCCAGCACCGCGCTGTGCTCGCCGAGCAAGCACACGTTCCCGACAACATGCGGCCCGCAAAAGACGGAACTATCGTTTTCCTTCCCGCAGAGAACCGCAGCACGGGGCACTTCAGCAAGACGGTCGAGCGGGTACAGGGCTCCGGGGCGACGTTCGAGAATGACATCTCGGAACGCACGACCGGTATTATCTGGCTCGACCCTAGCCCCAAGAACCTGCCGCTGCTGGAGAAGACGCTGAAGGAGACAGAACACATCAAGTGGATCCAGGTGAGCTTTCTGACGCACAACATTGCCGAATGGCGGCCAGACAAGACAGCCTTAGCGCTTACCTTCCATGCGTCTTCTCACTGGCAGCTACCCATGGCAGGCGTCAACGCCTACTCGCAGCTGATCATGTCCGACGTGGGAAAGCACCGGCTCTGGACCTCCGCGAAAGGCGCCTACGCCCAACCTGTCGCAGAGCACGCGCTGATGCTGTCCCTGGCATTGCTGCGCTTCATCCCTAGACGCGTCCTCGCCTCCTCATGGGGCTCGCCTGCCGCCGAGTCGCTCTTCGGCCAAAACGTGCTGGTCATCGGCGCCGGCGGCATCGCGCTTTCGCTGATAGATCAGCTAGCACCATTCAGCTGCTCCATCACTGTCCTGCGGCGGTCCGTCGACGGTGCCTGGCCCGAGCACCTGAAACACGTTAAGATCGACTCGTTCACCAACCTCGACAAATACCTCCCACATGCTGGCATCGTCTACCTCGCTGCCGCTGCAACGAAGGAAACCGCAAATTTGTTCACGTTGAAGCAGTTCGAGAACATGCAGCGCAAAGCGATCATCGTGAATGTCGCGCGTGGCGAGCTGATCAAGACCGACGACCTTGCCATCGCACTCGAGAAGAATCTCATCCTCGGCGCAGGACTCGACGTCACTGCGCCGGAACCCCTTCCGGAAGATCATAAGCTATGGCAGCTCGCCAAGGATGGGGAGAAGAACCTGATCATTACGCCGCACACGGCCGACACGCCTGAACAGATCATACCGCTCCTGTCGCAACGATGGAACGACAACATCCAAGCCGTTCTCAGCGGCAGCGGCAAATTTGTGGGGGTCATTGACAATGCACAGGGTTACTAATCGCACACACCAGCTGGCGTAGACGTCCGTGTTAGAAGCTAGACCAAAGGGAAGAATAGATGGGTAAAGACGATGCAACTTTTGAAACGATCGTAATGCCCGGTCGATGCACCTGTGGCCATGTTTTACAAAGTATTGGCGATGCCGCAACAGTTCGGGTATCCGCAAGATTGATGAAACTGCGCATAATTTATCGAGTTGGTGGATGGCCCTACAATGCCGGTAAGCGATTTATCACCTCGCGCGATCCGCAACAGCGGCCGGTGGCAAGCCTGCCTCCCTCTCGCGCCGCCTGATTTCCTCCCACATCTCCCACTGCTGCTTCACTTTGCGTCTTTTCGCTTCTGCTACCTTCTTCTCGGCCTCTTCACGCTTCTTGGCTTCGCGCTTGCGGATCTCCTCGTACCGGGCAGCCTCTGCTTCCGCCTGTCTCAGCCGCTCCTTCTCCAGCTCCCTCTGCACCGCCACGAAGCGCTTCTCCACTTTCGCTTCAGCGGCGACGTTGCTGCTCGCGCCAGCGTTGGATTTCGCCTTATCGCTCGAAAAGGAGCGCTGCTGCACGTGGACAACGAAGCTGGGTCGCCGGCTGGAGCCGTCCGTGCCGGTGTCAGATAGCGACGGCTCCACATAGGCCGCGGGGACTACAGCTGCTGCTCCGCTGCTGCTGTGCTTGCGCCTCCCCAGCTTGCCAATGCCAAAGCCGATTCCACCGCCACCGCTGCCACCTCCGCCTGCATTCGCGATCTCATTCCAGAGCAGTGTCTGCAGCTGCGCGGCATCACCTGCGAGTTTCTTGTCGTTGTTTGACGAGTCACTGGAACTTATCGCGCTCGCCTCAACCGAGGGCCGACTGCGCGCTGTGGACGGCCGACCCTGTCTGTGCCTATGTAAAGCGCCTTGTCCATGCTGATGGCCATGAGCATGGGCACTGCTTCCCTTTCCGCGACTGTTGCCGTTGCTGAAAGAATCTTGTCTGACACCAGGATGGGCGACATACACGTGTCCATTGACGACAGTCGGCGCGCCCACTGCCGTAGGCATTGGGGGTAAACCTTTCTCCTTTCCTCTGCTTTGCCCCTTTGCGTCCGCCGCAGAAGCCGCCAATGCTGGCGACGGAGTCAGCGGAGGCGAGGAAGAAGACAGATCTGCCTCGGCTAGGGCGGCGGCGATAGCAGCATCGAGCGCAAGTTGGTCCTCTTCTGACATGGGTTCCTCGGCCGGTGGGCGCCGCGTTCCGGAACCGCTGGTGGTGTTGCGCGCTTCGGCGAGTGTCGCTCCGTCAAGAGATGGTAGATGATGTTGAATCAGTGGTAGCGTTGGGGGCGACGCCAAGCCCGATAGCCCCCCCTGTGCTCGAGATTCGGCAACAGCCGAAGATGCCGTCATCGTCTCCGAGCTCGCGATCATTGAACGCGAAGAAGAGCTCTGTGTAATAGGTTCACCGAGCAGATTGGTGCCAGAGAGCGCAGAGGAGATCTGACGCAAGAGCGGACGTCGTTTCATCGTTCCGGTGTTTGCTTCCTTTTCGGATGCGACGGCAGAAACGTCGAGTTCCTTTGCTTTGCTTTTAGCGGTCGTGGAGGGGCCGGTGACAGCATCTGCATGCAGGTGAGCTGCGGCAGTCCCATTAGCGCTCTGGCATCTGAGCGGCTCTGCAGGCGCCAAAACTGATAGTCTTCCCTGCGCTGCATCACCCATGCCAACAGGAGGCGGAGCATGTGCACTGACGAAATCTGGGCGGCTAGGGCCAGCGCCGCTGCTGCTAGCCGAGCGGTCGATAGCGCGTGGAACGCCAGGGCTGATGAGGAGTGGCATAGCGGACATCAATGGAGTGCTTTCCGCGAAAGTAGAGTTAACGTTTGCGCTAGCTGGCGAGGGCCGTCCCTCGGGCAGTGCAAGACCCGCGGTGCCTGCTGGGCGCTGACCACCAGCGACAGTATGCGGCTTCTCTTGCTCACTGCCAGAGACGGTGCCGGACGCAGCAGAACAGCCCACGCCGACGTGGAAGCTCACGCCCGGCGACAGCACGGTGGTGCGCGCCGTCTGTGTGACGCTGCTGCCGCTGGTCACCAGGCTGCTGCTCGCGGTGCTGTTGGCGGGCGAAGATAGCGCCCGAGGTGATGCAACCGGAGACATCGATGATGATGAAAGGGTGGCAGGCACGGCGGGTGATACCGCTGCTGATGAGTGAGGCAGCACAGCTACGATGGATCTAGGTGGCGCGATAGCCGTCGTCAAGAGCAAGTCTACCTTCGTACCCGCTGCTTCTTCGCAAGTCGGTATATCAGGCGAAGGGTTCTGGCTCTGTTGCTGTTGCTGAAACTGATGCTGCTTCTTCGCGCTTGCAGCCGCAGCATACATCGGGTGCAGGGCAGCGTTTGAACGTCTCGTGGCGACGCGCATCGCTTCTGTGCGTGCCGAGCTTTGGGCACCTGCTGCTGTATTCTGCCCCACAATAGCTGATGGATGCGCTGATGATGAAAATGTCGTGCTGAAGGGCGAACCGAGCGGCGATTGTGCGGGCGAGCCCTCTACCATCGGTGCTATGAATCCGCACGCACCGAGGTTGTTCGTGCTGCTCTGCCGCCTCTTGGCTCCATTTGCGGCAGCGGCAGCAGCCGAGCCTGAGGGCCTGCGCTTCTTATCAGTCTCATCGAGGGCTTTGGCGTCCGACAGTCGCCCGAGCCCTGCTGTACTGCCGTTCTGAATCCTCGTCAGCACCTTGGCCGCCCCCACGGCTGATCCAGTGCCTGGGCCAGCTGCCCCGCTGCCTAACTTCAGCGTGTACATCCCCCGGCGCGTGCGCCCTACCTCGGACGCGAGCGGGTACGCACGCATGCCATTGAAGGCGCCCCCCGCGGCGCTGGTGGCACTGGTAATTGCGACACTCGAGCTGTGGCTGCTTGGCTCGCGTGGCTTCGCGAGCGCAATGTGCGGGTTCAGCGAGAGAAAAGCGGCAGTGGTGTTCGAAGCGACTGATGCGCGTGAGCCGGTCGACCTGTGTGAGTGTCCTGAAGCGGTAGAGGACGAGGAGCATGTAGATTCTGCGTCCGCATTGGTGTGCGGCGTCCCTTTGCTATTCGCGTGAGAGTGCTTTCGCCGGCTCGTCGCTGCAGCAGCGGTCGTTGCCGTCGTCCGATCAGACTTGTTCCGCCTGCCGGTGCGGGTGCCGGTTCCGTCGCCCAATCCTGAGGCCGACGCGGAGCGGAATCCTGAAGATGTTCGCCTGGTTATGACCAACGGCGGCTGTGGGTGTATGCTCGAGTACGAAGGCGGATTGGACAGTGTACCAGCGCGTGTGAGCGATGCAGCCGGTACGACATATACATGTGTCGATGGTAGGCTGGGGAGTTGAAGATCTGCTAAGGTGTAGGGTTTTCTGATTCGGATGCTGCAGCGAGAAAGACAGGTCAAATCAGTTAATTTCGATTAACAGAAAAGTTTTGCTCTAGACCCACACAATCTCATCTCCCTCCTCGAGTAGTGCGCATTCATGCTCATCTTTCAATTCAAACCCCTGCATCGCCTCATCAGCGCCCCCATTCTCTGCATCAGCCCGTGAGGAGAAAGAGGCTACCCGCTCCCTCGTCTCTGGCGCGATCAGAGCATTTTGCCTCAGCTCAAGCCCAATCATCTGCAGCCGCCAACCATGCAGTGTCATCTCCTTGACCTGCTCAGCGTATGTCATGGTGATGACGTTTCCGCTGCTGCTCCTGCTGGCGCTTGCACTTCCACTTGCAGCGCCGGCATTGCTCGCGCCGGTGAGGATGCGGACGATGCTCAGCTTAAGGCGCGAGATTGGCATATGGGGTGGAGGTACGGCGTGCGGTGTGTGAAAGAGCGGCAGAGGGGGGAGCGTCCGGAGTGTCAGCAGAGGAGCCGGGCCTCCGCCTGGTGGGTCCAGATGTCGGGTCGACATCGTCGAGGTGACAATGTTGAATGTGGCGTGCCAGTACGACGGCGATTAGGACTCGAGGGCTTTGCTGGCAAGTCTCCGGTCAGTGTGTGGCGTCAGGAAGACCACTTTGACTGAGGTGTCAAGGGAGCTGCGCCTGGTCGTCGTCGCGTATGAGCGTCGTGAGAGTGCGGAACACTGGCGTACGATTGCATCTGGGTTTCTTCTGCTTTCTTTCTCTCACTCTCTTGGTATGTTTGAGAGAGAGGTTCGACTGAGTGCCAGAATGACGCCAATGCTTCGACGCGGTGCGTCAAGCTGAGCGACGAGTTGAAATGGATGCTCTGACCGCAGTTGCCGACTACGCCGAGGTCTCGACCGTTCAAAGGATGTAGTAAAGGCGAGACAGAAGCAAACCCGTATCACTCCTCCGCCGACTGACCCTCTTTCGATTAGGCCTCCCTCTTCTTTCTGAGACAACGCAAACAGTTGTAGTAATGGTATATGACCCTATACAGTGTGCACGTCTGGCCTCTTGGGTCTGGGTGAGGTCAGAATCGATCGCTTTCATTATCGTGGGGTCTCATCATAGCCCTATCGCCGAAGATCGCGATCTTGTTGTGGTTTGCGCTCCCATCTCGACCCGGGCCGAAGAACCGAAGAACAGCACAAACCAAAAACCAACAATCGACTTCGGATAGAATAGGGTTATGACATGTTTCTGACCTGCCTTCGCCCATTTGTCATGGTAGACTCGCTTAACACTCTTCATCCACGCCAATGCCAAATGAAGAACCAGCTGGCCTTGGCGACCGCGCAAGCGAGCCAACGCAGCTTCTGGAGCGGATCCAGAGCAAACACGGCAATAGGCTGCCCTCCGACCATAAGGCGCCGGAGTCGAGTATTGTGGTAAAGGGGCCCGGCTCGTCGGAGAGCATGGTGACTGATGGAAAAGACAGGCCTGTCACTGGACTTATCGTCCGCAAGCTCGACCATTGTAGTGGCAGGTTGTCCATGGCGCATCTTGTAGTTGCTTTGCTTTGCGTATTCATATTCGGCTCTTCCAATTCATCGCGCTTCTGCATGAAACAGCACTCGCTTGGTCTGGCTCGCGCGTCTGCACCTTGGATACGTGCAGGTGGGATGGTCAGTCTTGGCAGTCTGCTTGGCACCAACACGTTGCGAACATCGTCTACGAATAGGGCCTTGCCACGACGGCGTTCCGACTCAAAGACGTTAGAGATTAAGAGGCCGTAAGGAGATGTAGCATCCATCCATCCGAATGGCATGTCCTATCACTGATACATGCTCGTCGAGGCGAGTAGTAGAGAAACAGCGGCGCTGACGGCCAAAGGCAGCCTGTTTCAGTGGCCGGCCATGCCGTTGGGATTGGTGAACACCACAGCTTCGAACAATCGTCTATTAATCTCTCACATCCTCGAGGTACGTCTGCATTCATAGACCTTCTTGGTCAAGCGCTTCTCCCCTTTGCGGGGACTGCCTTCGCAAAAGGCTTGTGAGTGACCATGAGAGCCGACTCTTGGCGGTTGCTTTTGAGGCCGATTGCCAGGCACCACCTCTCTCGCTCTCCCAACCCTTTACGTGCCTCTCTTCAATGGCCAGAACCCTGCAGCCTAGTCTTTGAAGATTCGTCTCTTCCTCAACGATTAGAGACCGCCGGCTCTCAAGGTCAAAGCTGCATGATACATGAACTTAACGACCTTTTGACCAACATGTATTCTCCACGCCGGCTATTCGGTGTTTTACCATGCAACAACCTTAGCGCAAAAGTCCGAATAGCTTGCTTAAAGAATACATGGGTGGTTGAGGGATGGTTGGGGACCCTGGTATACAACCCTGATGACTCGTTGCATGCATCATGGGGAAGCCGCCATGGAAGCGTGTGGAGGCTGCATCGAAGTTCCACTTGACTTAAGCGAGGCAGAGGATTGGGCCTCGATGCTGGGTAAGGCAGCCCAAATGAGCATGTCGAACTTTCATAGCATGCACATATCACAGGCTCGTCTTGAATTTCTCTGAATACTTTGCCAACATGCCACCACAGGCCCCACGGGGCCACAGCTGAGGCTCAACGAGGAATCGTGGGACGAATTCGGGAGCATCGGCTCTCATACCGATAATCTCAAGTCAGGTAACTATCGAAGGTTGGGGCAACGGACGAGTCCAACAATGGGTTGGACAAGTGACGACCTGTAAAGAGTTTAGTAGTGAAGTTATCAGGCCACCTAGCTCCATCTTACTATGCATAGGCATGCGAGTATGTATTGGCATGAAAGGAGGGTACGCCATGCCGTCATATTGCGACAAGAGACCGATCCGCGGGGTCTACTTCTTTCCCTTGCCCATGCCGGCCAGGTCTTGCATCATGGGATTGAAATAGAGCTGCAAATCAGCAGACTCCAGAATTCAAGAAAAGAAGTGTACCGGCTGTCACTGCGACGTTTGCGACTTTATCTCTATACATGTCGGCTCCATTCCCCTACTTCATGTACGGACTGCAGTATCTCATGCAGCTGCCTCCTTCCTCTTCTCCATTTCGCGCCTGCTCAGCTCCCTTTGTCGCCGGATGAAGTCATCATATTGGCATCTATTCAAGTCGTGGCAGAGAGAAGGGAGTGGACCGCTTGTGTTAAAATCGGATTTCGTGCGATGAGCAGATGGCAGGAGCGGGAGAGGACGTACTTTTCGTATGTGTGCCTAAGCGTCAGAGTGCCATCGAAAAGAATATTGCAAAAGGAGCACACAAATGAGTCAGCCAGCTGTCGTTGCTACCCCTTGATCACAAATTGCGGAGTAACGTCCCCTGGCCTATCGCAGACAAGCGCACCTTTCATCTTCACATTTCCAAGGAGCGTATAGCGTTTGCTTGCGGCACTTGTTCAGAGGAATGAGTAGCCTGAAAAGACGATCGAAGAGCTGAGTCAGTACCCTTTCCTTCTACATCCATGCGGTCCGCAATAGTGGGTCTGCCCTTCTATCCCCAATGTGTCTCAGCACCGCACTGGTCCTTCCATGGCCAAGTGCATTCATGCCCTTCCTTCTCTTTCAGCATGACCATTCCTTTTAAAGCGATGTGCTCCAGTATTGGCCAGCCAGAGTAATATGAGCATTTTTCTGCGCTCCTAAAGGTCTGCAACCCGGTACGTGTTGTTCTGTACGATCATTCGGACCAGCACCGAATTCGCATCTTGCAGCGGATCAGCCTGCAGCCTTCCGGTTATACCCCAGTTCCAGTTCCAGCCCTGCCATATTCGATCATATCCAGAACAGATCGATCCGGAGAAGCGAATTCATGCCACCTGAATACACACGCGCTGCATGAGTCCCGGTAGCCAAGCGGCAGCCTTGCGGCGTTGGCGGCTTCGACCGAGGCCGTGTGGGCTTGGTCGCTCATGATGATTGTTTCTTCTGCTGACTGAGTCCCCGGACGTCGTTCCCGAGATAAACGAAAGAAGAGCTGCCAGCGGCCTGTCTTTCTTCGCAGCGGCGGTATCAAGCGCGTGCCGTAAGTTGCCAGGTTGTGCAGCAAAGCAAGACGGGGATGCTATATTGGAGGATTGAAGTCAGCCAATCATGGCAAGGAGAGAGAGTCTAGTGGTCGATGGGGCGGAACACGGAACGCTGCACTTTGCGCTCGCTGACTGCGCGCCTTTCCATTGTAGAGGTTTTGTGCGTTGACCGTAGTGGACGTGCTCGTACTGCCCCATCCACTGTCCTTTCAACTTCGTGCTCGAAGCTTCAAGGCAAGACGTACATCTGAGGTACCATTGTTTCGTGGGAGCAGCCCTTGTCACAGTAAAATCGCAATTTTTGGTGGACATCTAAGAGCGGACCAGGAGCCCTTTCAAACAAACAAACTTCGCACGATGCTCATGCTCGCCGGTCGCCGTGCGGCCGCTGCCTCTTTGCGCAAAGGCTCCACGTCTCGTGCCAGCGGCGCCGCCCTTCCAGCTCGGCTCGCTACTGCGGGTGCTGCAGTGTCTCAGCGAGGCATCCTCACTCAGGTTTCCTTGTCTTCGTACGGGAATCACGTTGCCAGAGGCAGCAAATCCTGCTCGTGGAGCTTCCGGCTCGCATCCCACGCATTCAGCAGCTCCATCGCAGCGCGAGGGCAAGGCGAGTCGGACGCTGAGCTATCCGCGTCGCTGGTCGAAGAGATCAAGTACGAGAAAGACGAATCTTCATCGACTGCCGCTACATCAGGCGATGAGCCGGAATTCTTGACCGCCTTCAAGAATGAAGGCGTCTGGAAAGTCGAGGAGAAGACTGGCGGAGATGAAATTGCCTTGACGAGGGAATTCGGAAATGAGCACATCCGCGTGCTCTTCTCCATCGGAGACTTGGACAGCAGTGCTTCCGTCAGTGGCATGGGCGAGGAGGGCGAGTCTGGTGTTGAGGGCAGCGAAGAGTCAGAGGAAGCCGGGTTCCCGGTTCGAGTCGCCATCACTATCTCGAAGGTGCGTCCCCGATTGCTCCTTATTTATTCGTACATTTCCTTATCCCACTCACACTGCTTCATCTCTTCAACTGCTTGTAGCCGAACCAGGGTGCGCTAAACATTGATGCGCAAGCCCAAGACGGCGAGTTCATCGTGGAAGCCATCTCATTCTATTCGGACGCCAAGCTCGCCTCGGAGCTGACCGTCGAAGCGGACTGGCAGCGCCGGGGTCTCTACGTCGGCCCGCAGTTCGAGACGCTCGACGAGAAGGTCCAAGAGCAGTTTTACGCTTTCCTTGAGGAGCGCGGCATCGCTGCCAACCTCGCGCTTTTCATCCCGGAGCTGGCTGAGTGGAAGGAGCAGCGCGAATACTGCAGGTGGCTCGAGAACGTCAAGAACTTCGTCGATGCATAGCTCAGTCTGACCATGTGATCCAAAGAGAATAAGAAAACAACTCGCACGAGACACTACGCTATCGCCGTCTCCTTCATCCCATGTAGCATCCTCCTGTCAAAACATCCGTCTCAGATTCTTGTTCCCGGTTACTGTTTCTATAGTACTAAGTGCTGGAGTTGTTCCTGGGTCGGCGAACGATGTGCGTCTACGAGCTCTGCGATGACCTGCGCCATGCACAGGTCTCCGTCGTGGGTGATACTCAAGTGAAGCTCTATGCGTTTTGCTTCTTGTTCAGGACCTTCCAGCTCCTCGCCTTTTCTCGCCTCTACTTTTAGTTGCGCAGCATCCAATGTCGGACTTGCAAATGCGCCTGGGACTGAACCGTTGCACCGGCCTTCACGTTCCTGGGCCCAGCGTTGCTTGAATGCATGGGAGAAGCTCAGCACTGGCTTCGCGCTTTGACCACCGTTTCCTACTGCTGATCCGCTCAGGTACGCTTTTGCCAACAGGCCTAGCCTTTCCTCCTTCTGCGCCCCGTCCCCAGCGCCGTTCGCACAGGAAGGTGCAGTGGCAGATGCGTCGGCTGGCTTATGAACGTCGAGATCTGCCCATCGGAGTTTCAAATGCGGATAAAGCGCCTTGTATGCCGCCTCTTTTGCGGTCCATCTATTCTCTTTGAGGGGGTGTACATGCAGTGAAAAGGTAAGCATCTCCAAGACAGTGGTATCCCGCACGACGAAGCCTTGTCGCCACCTCACCTCAAAGCAAGCCATCGCATAGCCTTGGCATTTGTGAACCCCGCTTCGGGTTTTGCGTCACCGACAAAAAGCTTGTGAAACTGCTGCCGCTCCCTCTCGCAGCCAATGCGCTCCGCTAACTTCATTCCTGCACCCAACGTGGCAGGCATGACGAAGCGACGCAGCGAGGCATCGCTGCCTTCCAAACCGCCCATACCCGCCAGTATCCGCGGCCGTCGGGCGCTGCCGGCCGCCATGCGCTGCGCTTGGCGGTGCAGCAGGGTCTGAAGGCGCGGGAGATAGAGCAGGTCGATGCCGATGCCGAGAATCACGGCTTTGGCGACCAGGTTGGAATTCTCCGAGCTGTCAGCGCTGGTAGTTGCCTTGGAGCGTAATGAGGAGAAGGCTCCTTCCACTTGATCCTTTAGTTTTCTTGCCTCCTTTTCCACTTGCTTCTCTTTCTGCTTCAACAACCCTTCCGAGTCGTGGACATTCTGCTCAGCCTTCTTTCCCGCCTCGCTGCGCGCAGCGCTCGTCGAGCCGAGAAGAATACCTTCGCCCTTGTCGAAAATTGCGTCGACCACATGCTCAACGGGCTTATCAAACAGATACGGCAAGGCAGGGACGAATGCCAGTCCCGCGACCGTGGGACCGGCAGCACGCACACGTGCATTGGAGCTCTTGGCAAACAGCGGCGCTGAGTAGCGGACGATCGAATGGATTGTGAATGCTGGCAGTGCCATTGACGCGATGCTTTGAAAGACTGCGCGGCGTGCGACGACCAGCCCTATATTCGTGATCTCCGAATGGTGAGGTGAGAGGGTTGCATCGTTCGAGATGTCGAATTGACGCTTCTTCAGCTCGACCTTTTCAGCTGGGGACAGCTTGTCGATGTCATTCCTAGCTTTCAACAGGGAATTATTGATCGACTCAAGCGGAGATACAGCCTCATGATGCGCCAGATGGGCCTTGTAGCCCGCGTAGCCGACATCCAAGGCGAGGTATGCCCATGAGATGCCATAGGCCGCTCGCACAACGTTGGGCGATGTGAGTGGACGGAAGGCTTCGCCAACATCAGACGAGTATCTGCGATGGGGAGAATAGGATGGCAGTCAGAATCCTTCACCAAATTGTCCTTCCACTGAGCTTCACGCACGCAATGTATCGCGAGCTAGCGGTGATGAGCGTACGCAAGCGCATCAAGTATGCAGCATATCGACCAGGCCCTCCGTCCAGCCCGTCCCCGATGGGGTCTGCGCTGGCTTGAGCTGGAGAAGACATCTTGCAGTGTTATCCTTTCCAAGAGCCTTCTTCCTGCAGAATCAAGGACTCCCTTCACGGTGGTCCGCCTCCTTATGGGCGTACCATCGCGATACGCATGTAGCGTCTGAACCGATGGTGGACAGATGGTAGGCGTCGGAGTGTGGCCCTCACCTTCGCGTCGGCCCGCGTTGGATGTTGCACAGCCAGAGCGGCCCGTGCTTGGCCTTGGCCCCCTTGCTCAGAGCTCTCAGCCTATAGCTCAGTCGCAGTCTGACTTGGCTCGCTCGCTTTCTTTCTTTTTGAGCAAATCGGGACTCGGAACTGGAAAAAGAAAGTATGCATTTTTTTTTGGATTGCTCTCCCGCCAATCGACAAGAATGGCACAGTCAGTGCGATTTGCCAACCGTCTCTACACCATCTTTACGACGAGGCCTGGCGATTGCATCGCGGGCTGCACAACAGAGTCACTGACTCGAGCAAATCATATTGCTGTGCGTCAAACAACCTCCCTAAGTGAGCCAATGGCGGAGACCGGTGGCGTACAGACGCCTCCAGCGCAGGCAGACGTGATGACAAATAAGGAGAAGCGTCTCGCTCGCAAGGCCGAGAAGGCTAAGCAGCGGGGGGCCGATGGGATAGCGTCTGCAGAGGTAGAGACAGACGCAGACGCAGATGCCGCGGAAAACAGCAAGAATGGCTTGAAGTCGAAACGGAAGCGTGATGACGTTGATACGCATGGCGAGCGTTCAGCAAATGGCGAAGGTGACGCTGGTCCCGCTGACGGTAAGGAACATGCAGAGGCAGTTGAGGGAGTAGAGCCCCTCTCACACAAGGAGCAACGCAAGCGCCGGAGGGTCGAAAAGCAACAGCAGCGCAGCCAGTCTAGCGGAAAGGTATCTGACTTGGCAGACAAAGACCAAACCGGACCGGTTGATAGTGTCAAAGCAAAACCAAACGCCAAGCCAGAGGTTCCTGCTCGCTCTCCGTATTCGATCTGGATTGGTAATCTATCTTTCCGCACGAGCCCTGATCGGATACAAGAATGGCTGCAAGAACATGAAATTGAAGGCATATCACGTGTTTACATGCCAAAAGGTGCCAAGCGAGGAGAATACAACCGAGGGTAAGTTTGCTGGGACACTTCGAAGCACAAGTCTCATGGTCTTTAAAACGTTGATTCCACCTCCACAGCTTCGCATACATCGACTTACCTTCCAATGATATGGTTGAGGCAGCCATCAAGCTCTCGGAAAACAATCTAGACGGCAGGCGTCTGCTCATCAAGAATGGCTCTGATTTTGCCGGCCGGCCGGCGATCAACCCAGACGCCGCTTCTTTGGCGCTAGCCTCCCTGCACAATGGCTCTGATACAGCAGGTGCTACCGATGTGCAGCTAGCAGCAGCAGCGAACATCACAGTTGGGAAGACAGGCCTGACCAAGACTGCGGCGAAGATCCTCCGTGCGCAAAAGAACCCACCGGTGCCCACCCTCTTCGTGGGCAATCTACCTTTTGAGACGACCGAGGAAGGATTACAGAAAATGCTCGAGGATGCCGCAACGGTGCGAATGCAAAAGTTCGCCGTGGACAATAACCCAAATCGCAAGAAGGGCGGGAAGTCAACCGAAAAAGGCAAGGGGGCAAACAAGGGAGGCGACGATGCCGATACAAACGATGACGATACCAGTGACTCGGACAGCGATGAAGAGATGCGCAGCGATGTCGCTTCCGAAGATGAAGCGGACGGCAAGGACGAAACAGGGAAAGATCCGTTAGAAGAGCAGAAACGCGCCCGTGGCGCTGGCATCCGAAAGATCCGCCTGGGGACGTTCGAAGACGCGCCGACGAAGTGCAAGGGCTTCGCATTCCTCGACTTCCATACGACAGCGCATGCAACAGCGACGTTGATCGACTATCCGCGATGCTACCGCTTGCTCGGACGTGAAATCATCCTGCAGTATGCCGGTGCAGATGCGGTGCGACGAGGTGCACCGAAGGGCGAACGCATCGCTGGAAAGATTGACGCGGCGCGAGCGGGGAGGGAGGAGCGCAAGTCGTTTAAATCGCGACCCGGCAAAGCGGCCAGACAGAAAATGAAAGAGGAAGCTGCGCAACGCGCCGCGGCTGCAGGTATCATCCTTGATTCTCCTCAAGCTAACGCTAACCCTGCGGCAGAGCAGATCCCGATCGATGTACCTGCACCTGGCACTTTTGATCCCGAGGCACCGCTGCCTAAAAAGCACAAGGAGACGCAGGAAGAGCGCAGAGCGAGGCGTGAGAGAGAAAAGACTTCTGGGGGCAAGAAAGGCGCCGCAAGGACAGTAACAGGAGGTGCACGTGCCAAGCCAGGGGCTGCTCTCGCGGCTGCGGCACGCGCATCCGTAAGCATCGTGCCGAGCCAAGGGAAGAAGACGACATTCTAATCCCTGCATGTGCAGTCTAGGGTTCACTACATTAATAAATTCCTTGCCACCTCTGAAATCCCATGAAATACTTCTTTTTCGCATCACACAAGTCTCAGGATCGCTGCGATATGTTCCACATTTGATCCTCCACACGGCTCAGCAACGCGTCGTATCCTTCCAGTGGGACCTCGCCGACCAGCGCAGCGGTGATGGCGGCAAGCTGGTCACAGCTGCGGACGAACTGACCGAGAGCTACAATGCCTGTGACGATATCCATGAAGGCCGGTTCGTGCAGCGCGTGCAGCGAAAGCGAGCTGACCACGGAGTCCTGTCCGAGTACTTTTTCCCTCTTCCGAGCCTCGATCTGGACCGAGATTGTACGGTCGAGGAGGTTGCCGGCGCTAGTGTGCGGCAAAGGCGTGCCAGTTGCAAGGGCACGCGAGATGAGCGACAGGTGCATACTAATGTCTGCGATAATAGAAGGGTCGAGCAGCGCCGACGAGCGCAAGAAGTGGCGCTGCCATTCGGACGGAGTGCTGATCCCGAATGCCGCGCCTGCAAGGTGGGACAATGCTTCGAGCTGAGGAAAGTGGCGGGAAAAGTAGTTGAGCTTTGGTGCGATAGCAGTCGCCCTTATTCCGAACAGATCAAACTCACCATTCGTGCTTGTGCCTTCACCGCTTCCACATAGCGTTCCTTTGGCCAATGCCCTCGTGGTGCAACATCAACAGACGCCAAGCCGACATGGGTGTTGAGCTCCGCGAGTCTCGCAAATGTATCGAGCAGAAGTGGTCGAAGATGATCCACTAGATACTGCTCATCAATAATTTGGGCCGGCTTCTCAGCAGCGGAATCAACCTGGGAGTCAATTTTGATGTACGCTTCGATGATGGTCGAATAGATGTCCAAGATGTCCTGCGTCACGCCGGCGACCGACTGCCGCACCAGGCCACGAGACGAAGCAGGACGACCGATGAGCAGGACTGCGAAGCTGCCTGCAATGCCGATCACGACGAGCAGCGTCCGTCGCCAGAAGACTTCGATTCCGACTCCGGAATTTGCCGTCACAAACAGATGCGTGTCGATCCAGCTGTAACCAAAGACCAGAAGGCTGCGAAGATTTAGGGCGATCGTGTCAGTGAGTAGCGGCGCACGTTTTCAAGATCGTTGTCAAAGGCAGTCCGGACTCACGCGGTGACGCCAACCATGAGGGCCGGTACGAGCATGGCAGGCGGCACATACAAACGTAGGAAGACTAAAGGAACGAATGCCACACCTCCAACGACAGCATAAGCATACTGAGGGAAGGAAAAGTGGCGTTTAGCATGCGGGAACAAGGAGGGAAGCGGGGCCTTCTTGACAAGCTGGCACTCACGACATTCCCGCTGCCAGACCCTGCGCTGATGTACCACATGGCCGTTCCAATGAGCCCGCCGACAATGGTGCCAGCGATCCGAGCGATAGAGGCGAAGACTTGCGCGCCGGTGAAGACCGTCAGGCCGAGCTGAGCCATGATCAGTGCCCAGACGCTGCGAAGGACTCGCGTGATGTTCAGCAACAGCGCTTTTGTTTTTTTCTCCGTCTCCCTTACACAGAAACTCACCCTCTCTGATGGTAGTAGAACGCGGCGGACGACGGGACCACCTGGGGGACCCATAGCGCGAGGGTCACAACCGCGACGCGAAGGGCGAAAATGCCGTCAGTGGAGGTCATAACGTTGTAGATCCCCGTGATGCTCCTGCCGAGGTAGTGCAAAGCGTTGGTAGGTGGCATCGCGTCCGGATCACGTCGAACCGCCCTGCGCCGATGGCGCTGACGACGACGACGAGTACCTTTTCCGTCGGCCTTTGACGCCTTGATGTCCTTCTTGCCCGAAGCGTCGCGCTCAGCATCCTTCTCGAGCGCCACGGTCGATGAGGCGGTCGAATGCTGCAGGTCCTCATCGTCATCGTCGTCACCATCACCTGCAGCCGTGTCCTCTTGACTCAGTCCGGTGTTGGCGAAGAACTTGAATGGGCCGCCGGCTGTCGCCTTTTTGGACGTGAGCACCTTCCAAACGCTGCGCAAGCTGGAGGGGAGCCAGAGTCTGTTGGACTGGCGCTTGCTGGCGAGCTCGTGAATCTCGTCGGATACCTTGACAAGCTGCTTGCTGAAGCGGCTCAGCGAGACGACCCAGACGAGGCACAGGAACAGCGGGCGGCCGCCGGTGCGGAACTCGATGGCGCTCTGTTCGTCGAGGTGCAGCGAGCCGTCACGCTCGACCTTGAAGTGATGTTCGTACGGGCGGAACAACGCGAGGCGCTCTTCATCGACGAACGCCTGGTGCACGCGCGCAAGGTTGGCCGCGGCATCCTGTATGCGCTGCAGCGTTTGCGCCTCGAGCGCATCGTCTCGCTTGCGCAGGCGCCACCGGCTGCGGTTGGTCCGATCGATGAAGGCGGTGATTGCGCCAAGCGCCTCGCCGCAGGCTTCGAGTGTCGGCCCCGCCGCTTTGGCCATGAGCGGCTGCAAGGTGGACAGCTTGACGTGTTGCTCTGCTTCGGCTTCCTGGATGCGCTGCCGCGCACGAAGCACCAAGGTAGAATCGTGGATCTGGACGGGATGCTTCAAGTCTTTCCATGATTCATTGCCTTCCTTTCCAGCAGCAGCGTCCCCAGCCCCTGGCTCCTCCTGAGGCGCGCCTTGGTCGCCCATGACGTTCTGCTCCACATACCCGCCGTCAGCAAAATTCTGCAGCAGGTGCGGGAAGGCAGCCATGCCGAATAGGCGGACATTGAGCGTGCGGAAGCCGAGTAGGAGCTTGCGCAGGTCTTTGCCAGAGAAGCGTCCGCGCGAGACGTCGAGTTCAAGGAAGGCGACCTCGCCGCTGAGGGCATCGCTGAGTCCGATGAGGCCATTGGATGTACCCTTGAGCTTGCGGTCAAACTCTTCGAGCGCAGGGGTGTTATGCGTCGCAGGGTCGGAGATAAAGGCACTGTGCATAGCGAGCAGCGCGCGCTGCAACTCGAGCATGCTGACCAGGTTGCGCGTCCACGAGTAGTTGAGACTTTCAGGGAAGACGAAGAGCATGCAGCCAAATGCGACACCGAGGCTGGCGCCGATGGGGAGCATGAATATGGTCGCCAGGGTGTATTGCGCGAACCTGCCGAGCGAGAACAAAGAGAAAGTGAGCAAGAAAGCTGACTGAGATGCAAGACTACTTGCTATGAAGATGACGTGCAGACGGGAGGGCATACGCACGGAAAAAGGGGACCGTACGAACACATGATATCCATGACGATCAAGGCAAAGATGCAGCTGAGCTGGAGCTTGGGCACCTTGGCCATCATGATGCCGAGCGCGTATGCGCCGACGACAAAGAAGGCGCCGATGACGGCGCTCGCGCGGATGTCGAGAAAATCCCCCTGGAAGATGCGCAATTTAAACGCAGCCTCTGGGTTGGTCTCGGCGGCGACGGACGCTTGGGCGGTGCGCAGCTGCGAGGCAAGCAGGACGCTGTCTCGCGAGAACAGACCTGCGGCCATCGCTGCGGCGCCCCAGGCCCAGCCGAGGAGGCAGCCGATGACAAGCGTCGCGTTGGCGATGAGCCAGATCGACACCGGCATGTTCGACGGGATCATGAATGTGATCATAGATGCAAAGAACGCCGCTTGCCCAAACGTCTGCAGTGAGCGCGTCGGCAGCATGAGGATGAGCGTGACCCATGAGGCGAGCCCTGGGAAATATACGAGCAAGAAGGTAGATGTGTGAGGTTAGGACTGTGGTGCGTCAGGGAGAGGCCATCGGGACAGCTTGCTCATACTCACAGCAACGAGCGAGCATCTTCCAGCTGTGCGGATCCTTGACGTTCTTCGTGATCCACTCTGGCAACTTGCTGTTGCTCCCTCTTACCTTCGGCACAGAGGCGTCTGCCTCCTCCTTGCCGACCTTAAGATAGGCACCGGACGTGTCATCTTGAGCTGCTTCATTTCGGTTCAGTGCCTGGCCTTCGTGGCTTGCTGTGCATGCTCCTCCATTCGCTGCTGTGGCGTCGGTGCTGCGACTTGGCTCGATGGCCGATGCGGAAGGCTGCAACAACATGCTGTATGATGACTGCAGGACGAATGATTCATTGGTTGAACTCAAGTGAAGGATGGACAGGTTTCCAGCCCACGAGTCAAGTCGGACGCTACCGTCGTGAAAAAGGCAAAGCGCGTCGCTGGACTTGTACGAGCTCGAAAGCAGGATGAGTGCGGTTCGAGGTTTTAAATCAGGATTTTGCTTGATGCAACGATAGCGGAGCGGTGTCTATGCGGAATAAGGTAATCAATTGCTCTTTCAGAACCCAGACACGGTTGACGAGCAAGCCGAACAGGCCTCGCGCGCAAAGGGTCCAAAGGAGGGGACAGAAAAAGTGGTTGGGCGCGCTTGTCCTGATGCTTTGACACAGTTCGGAGGGAAGAGCTGGAGGAGCGAGCAGGCCGGGTGGAGCTGTCCGAGTTGCCGTCCAAGGGGAGGCGCGGTCGCTTGTACCAGGAGTGCATCGCCCTGAGGAGGCAGGGTGATGATGGGGCGAGCTAGGCCCGTTAGGAGGAGCATCATCGAAATTGGCCCCCTGTGAGCGATGCTCGCTGCAGTGACCGACCGTTATCCAGCACCAGTGGATTGAACGGGCTCAGATTCAAGAACACGTCCAATTGCTACCATTCCGTATTTCGTATTCCGCATTCCGTATCCCGAGACTTGCATGGGCTGCGCATGCTCAGCTGAGCCCTTAAGACTGTTGCTCGAGGAGAAGAGGGGTCCTCAACGTACCAAAGTCAGCGAGGTGCTTGTTAGTAGGGAGGCGTAGGACAGCAGCTACAACGGAATCGGGGGGTCGTCGAAGCTAAAAAGGAAAGATTAATTCTTGTGTGTTGTGCCAGCTAAGCTGCCTTACAGGTAACAGTGAATGCGAAAGCCAAATCGAAGCACCATGATGATGCGGGGGAAACAGCGTGAAGCACACTGCAAAACACTCCACCACCCGTTTCCACGCTTTGCAAGCGCATTTCGCGCCTAGTCTGCTCCTTGGATCCTGTCCTTACGCCCGAAATCGTCCATCCAGAGCCCAGCGAGCGAGCTCGGCGCATTCGCCTGCATGCCCACACCGACGTCCGCGACGGGGGCCGTGTCGCCGAGCGTCGACGGCGGCGCGCTCGTCGTGCGTCCGCCGTCCGCACGCCGCGCCACGCGGTCGCGGTAGCGCGCCGATGAGTCCGGCGGCAGGTCCCGGTCCCGCTCGCGGTCAAGGATGCTGCTGCCGCTGTGCATATGGTGGTGACCGGCGTACCACAGGGAGAGATTATCGTTCGAGCCGGCAACGGAGCTCGTAGTTGTCGTGCCGCCGCCACCTCCAGTTTGCACACCGCCAATCAGCGAGCGGGCTCGCGAACGTGTGCCAGTCTGGAAACTACGCTCGGAAATGTTGCCCCATCGGTAGCGGCTCGGCGACGCGTTGCGCGAGCGAGAGATCGTGCGGTACTGTAGAAAAGCACGGTCCAAGCACCAAGTCATTCTTATCCATCAGCCTTCTTTCTCTTCTCCAACTAGCGGCTTGCACTGCTGCGCTACTCACATGTTCAGGATTATTGTGACCTTTGTACTGCGACCGATCAAGCAGCGCAAGCGCCGCAACATGCGGGTCTTGTCCCTGTCCCTGGCCATGCGCTTCGTTCGTAACGCTCTGCGCAAGCTGCTGGCGAGCGAGCGGCGTGCTCTCACCCGAAGAGGACGAAGCGGTGATTCCATGGGGCGCATTGGGCTCGCCGTCGCTGATCGACAGCGGCTTGCGGAAGATGATGCTGTCGCGCAAGCTGAAGCCTTTGGCGATGGAGAACGACACGAGAGTCCCCACGATGCGGCGGTGGAGCGGGTAGACTGAGAAAACCATGACGAACGTCTCGGTCAGCAGTGTCATAACCCTCAGGCCGCAGGTTGTGACTCACTGATGGAAGCAAAAGGCAGGATACCCTCGATGGCCTCTCTCATCCCCCACGTATCCTCGTGCCTGACAATCATACCTGCATCATTGAACTCGAGCCGGCTCATCAAGCGAAGCTGGATGCTGCACAAGCTCTTGAGCGCCTTACGCGGGTGTAGCAGCCCCCATACCAAGCTACGGACGCTGCGCCGACCGAAGCCTTCGCTGGACCAGTGCGGCTGGATCGCATCTTCCGGCATTGCAGGCCGCACGACCAGGTCCGTCGCCCCGGCAGCCGCTGCGGCTGCGCTACTCGTGACATAGTGCGACGGCTCGGGTGGCAAGCCCGCCGTCGGCGGGAGGCTTGCGCTCGCGCTGAGCGGGAACGCGGACGAGGGTGGCGGCG